GTAAAATAGAATAAAGACAATAAAAACAACAATAAATAATAAAGCATGCAGAAAAAAGGAAGCATGAATTTAAAAACAGACTTAAACCTGTTAGAAAGATTTTATAAAACAAAGAAACTGATTCAGTTCTCTGTCCTGAAGGAATCAGGAGGATCTGGACCAGACAGAACCAGACAGAACCGGCTCAGAACCTTTAAACCCTTTAGTGAAACCGATGGTTTCGGCTGCTCACCGACAGGTTGTTGATGCGCATTCGGCTGATGGTTCGGCGATAGTAGCTGAAGTCGTTCTGGATGGCGGGGTTGGTCATCTGAAGTAAACACAAACAAAGATAAACAAAGCGCAGGGGGAAGTGATGAAGAGGAGCGCAGACAGGAGGAAGAGGCGGACCTTCAGCTCATCGAAGCGCAGCGTGAAGTGCAGGATGTGGGCGAACTGACGGGCCAGCGCCTGCTGGGACTCCAGGTGCTGGGTCGGAGTGGAGCTGGAGCTGGTGAGGACGTCCAGGAGACACTGCAGGCTGGACTCTGAGGGACACAGAGGGACATGTCTTTAGTGGACACCGTCCTGAGGGGCGGGTCGGGACACCTCTGCAGAACTCGGAGCAGTTCTTACCCAGTTTCTGTGAGAACTCGTAGAAAGTCTTGAGTTTAGCGACCAGAGGAACCACAGCGGACCAGGCCTTCTCCTGGACCAGCTCAGCACTCGGGTTCTGGATGGCCTACACACACACACACACACACACACACACACACANTTTCCTGTTTCTACAGCTGGAGCTTTTTGTTCAGCCTCAGCTCACTTTTTATCACCGTGGAGCCAGGAACCCAACAGCCACAGTAGTAGGAGGCTGAATGGACCTGATTAACTGAATTTATCTTCAAATTACAGCCGTTAGTTATGTTCTCAGCTGTAAAATCATCTTTCTGTGGATGATTGTAACCTTTATATATTTCAGAATCACTTCTATCAAATGCAAGAATAGGTTTAAATGTTTCTGTTTCTTTCTTCTGGTACCAGACTATCCAGCTATCACACTGCTCAGTCCCTGTACAGCTGAAGGTGACAGGTTGTCCAGC